CACTCTCCAATGCAGGAGTTATACCTGCCTGGTTGTTTCAGGTTATCCTTCAGCATCAGACTGTGAAAGATTGCAGAACACATCCAACACAGACAAATACAGACTTGAACTCTTTTTTGTGTGACTTCGGTGGAGTAATGCAGAGGATGACAAATAGCCACATAGCGGTCAACTGATATGAGCACCATGGTTCCTACTGAGGACGAGGTAATAATGTAGTCCAAAACATTATACACAACACACATGAGGTCACCGAGGAACCAGCAGCCGTCTATGAGGACAACTTGAAAGGCCATGAGGAGGCCCACAAAGAAATCTGAAACAGCCAGGGAGAGGAGGATGAAGTTGGTGGGGGTGTGGAGCTGCCTGGAGAGATAAGACAGCAATGTACTTAACATTGTTTGTAGTATTATTTGTAATATTATCATTATGGCCGATAAAAGCCATGACTGAAACACAAAGACATATTTTAGAAACATTAAACTTTTCATTCACACTCTTTTTTTTTTCTGTAGCTACCAGTTTCATAAATTGATCAGATATTTGCCCACTTGAAGTGTGAGATGGAGATGATGACCAACAGGTTGAGAGTCACAGTGAGCACAGATATGGAGGACAGGATGATGTAAGTGACCATGGATTCAGAGTAAGGACGCATGGTCTTCCTGCAGGAGGAGTTGAGTTGAGGAAAGCAGAGTTTAGCTTCTTCCAGCGTTTCCATCATTAGACAGAGGAGATGAGAAACATAAGTAATTTATCTCTTTTCCTCCTCCACATCACTCCTCCCACTTTCCCTTTAGTGACATTTTTAATAGCAGTGACAGAATTTCTCTCTCTCTAATTACTTTTTCATCTACTTTTAACTGTAATTTGTCCCCCCTTGGCATATTTTCCTTTCTCCTTAACATGTCTCCAATGACGATGTACATGCTGCTCTAAAACTAAATTATAATTCATTTGAAAGCCCTGTTCTTAGTCTTGCTCACCTGGAAAACACTGCAGCCAGTTCTGTTTTTTATAGTGTACCGCGCTCCTGCCCCATACTCTGATTTTCTATCTGCTGAGATTTTATTAAGTTTAGTCCTTAAAACAAGAAATAATTATTGTAGGTGATTTTAATATTTATGTG